GTACCCAATCGCCGAATCTTGGATGTGGAGAATCATCATCCACCACCCTTTTAGTTCGGGCACTACTGCAGAGTCAGGTAATTTTTGGAAGCAGGAGACTTGAAAAGTGAGCAACCCCTTTGCCAGGAATCGAAACATGGACCTCTGGAATCCGCGCCCAGCGTGCAGATCACTACACCACGAAGGCACGCTAAGAAGGCGGGAGAAATACCTTATACCTTTAATTATTAAATATCATGTGCTTCGCACTTAAACCATAAAATTCAATTCAACAGCAATACCGTAAAATACTTTTAAAATGAACATATCTTTAGAATTTCCGATAAAATGTCTCACGCGCTGGAGATTTTTTTTTTTTTTTTTTTTTTTTTTTTTTTTTTTTTTTTTGTTCTGTCCAGTGTCACCATTGCTAGATTTGAAAGCGTTGAGTTTGTTAATCGAAAATTCGTTAAAGTTTTACGAAATAGGAAATCGATAATAAAACAAATTCCAAATTTGGGCTTCCAGATGCCCGTATTCGCAGGAGGATTACGTTACTCAAAATTGGATGGCTCTAGGTACGTTGTTTTATCACAATGCAAGAAACATACATACATTTATGCACATTCTTCATTATTTAATTTTAAATATAATACAGGCGATAATATTTGGTGGCAACAATTTGGAAAGTGAATCGACATTTATAGTGAACCAAAGCAAAATGTCAAAACGAAATTAATAGTCCGTCTGAGCAAATTGCCCCTTTGGACTAATAATTAAATTTAATTGAAAAAATGTAGAGATCAACCGAAATAAAATAAATTATTAAATTATTTTTAAATACCTAAATAAAAAAAATTATCGGACCTTAAACATTAACGTTAAGTCTTAAGAGATAAAACGTCTTAAGAGATAAAATTAATGTTTTATCTTAAGAGATAAAACGATTAAAGCGTCACAAAGAATAGTGATCATTCTTGAAACAGTATGAGGTTATGGAAGGAAGTTTTAATGGAAAAATGTAGCTTTTCCATTAAAACTTTCCATTTCCATTAAAATAAAGAGGAAAGAGTACAAATTTTACTGATCGCGATGCCTTGCATATATAATTCTAGCCGTCAAGCAGAAATTTTCCCTGACTGCTATTCGATAATAGCCTCAAAATAAACTTAAGATGAGTAGGACTTATGAGGAGAGTGACAGTAGTGGTTCTCGTGTTTGGTTACGCCGTTAAAAAAGTCTATAGGAGCTCTATTTAGGGTTGCGATGCGCTCCAATTAAAATTATGGATTTATCTTCTTACTTCCTACCTCCATGCCATGAACTTTGGGAGGGGGACTGTACTCCCCGATTTCGTGCAAACAGGAAGATTTTTTAAAAACGCGCAAACAGGAATCGCGGAAACAGACCTAAATCGAATTGCCACAGCTATTTTTAACCTTAAATTTCAAATAAGTTTTTACAGAGAATTAATTATATGAAATTTCTTCCCTCAGTGATGCGTAATAAATATTTATTAATGCTACATGAAAAGCTATTTTTTTAAAAATTATAGATGATATTATTCAAATTTTTAATATTTTTTAAAAATTCTTTCCTTTTTCATTTTTTTTTTTCTTTTTTTTTTTTAAATATTTGTAAGAGTAAATTTTTACCTTCACCGTGTTATTGGCTGCTACTTTACTTTGACTGCATTTACTAAATTGAATTGTGTATAACTAAGAAAGTTCGTTTGATGTTAATTTTCACAATGTTTTTAAGCAAACAGGGCGTTGACAGTTTGGGTCATGTCCCAGCTTTAAAAATTATATATATAAGAATAAATTTTTACATTAATCCTCTTCAAAAGAATGTTTTAAGAAGCTAATTTTCTCTCGTGTTATAGATTGTATAAAAAACATGATCTTTAATATGATTTAGATTGTTTGTAGCCGATATAATAATCGGGTTACTCAGTGGTACAGAATAAACACTGCTGGACTGTTTTATTTCTTTGTCATTTAGCAAAAAATCCTTTAATTAAAATATTTATCCTTTTGACTTTGTTTTAAACTTTAAATAAAGTTAGTTAAAATGCTTAGAAAATGAAAAGCTGTCTTCAACTGAAACGCAGTTGATGTCATTGCTATTTTAAAAAATTGACAAGCATGCAAAATTTAATTTAAAGGAAAAATTTATGGAAGTGTAACAATCAAAAAATCTTAATTTTTCTTGTGGTGAGCACTGAAAATAAATGTAGAAGGAAGAAATGTAGGGAAAAAAGGAAGTAAAAATTTGAAGGGATTTTGGCTATTAGAAATACCAAGGTGTTTCAAAAAGTTGGATACTTTTGAATATACTTTCAGATTGCCTGAAGAAAAAGAGCAAGCCATTAAGAAGAAAAAAAATAATTTTTTGCATAAAATTTAGTATATATTTTTTTTTAATTTAAACTTTTTAATCTTATGATATTTGATTCTTGCGATTTCAAAAAATAAAATATTTGACTAAAATATGATTAACATTTTAAGAAATAAATGTAGGATGATAAAATTGTGTAAAGCAATGAGCACAATGTTAAAGCTATTTAAAGCAATATATGCAAGTCATTCTAAGTTAAAATGTCGGTTATACATCTTTCTCATTTATATATCTTTTCTGAACGGAACATTGAAAGGCGTGTTAACTGTGTTTTACTGTATCTTCTCTTTTAATATATTCAGTTTTCAGATGCACCGTAATTCAAATAAATAAAATAAAATCCTGGAAAATTTATATTAATAAATATATTTAAAATGCTCAGTTCGAATGAATAAACAGAAAATTTGAGGAGACAATGCAACACAAACAAATTAAAATAAAAGCCTAAAAATTACCTAAAATAATAACTGTGACAAAAAAATTATAAAGAAAGCTATTTGAAAATAAATAAATAAATAAACGATGCACCTTATATTTAAACTACGCAGTTCGAATGGGTAAATGAAAATTTTTAAAACAGTTATTCGAAAGAAACCATGCAACTTAAACAATTAAAATGAAATTCGAAAAAGAAAAAAAATATTTAAAATAATAACATAAAAATATAATATAAAGAACATTATTTGAAAGAAAGAACGTTATGATTTTTTCCCTCTCACGGAAAAGGAAAATAGGTTGTTATAAATTAAGAAGTTCGCCAATTGAATTTTCCTTGGCGCAAACTGAAAAAAATGGGCCAAGATAAATTTTTAAATTTCTCCATAAATTTCACCCCAAATTTTACAAAATTGCATATTTAGGCATAATTTGAGTCGTAGAATCAAAATATAGAAAAAAATTTATATGTTATTTCAGAAAAAGTCCGATTTTGTGTCAAAATAACTATGTTAGAATAGAGCTATATATAAATCTAATATATATCCTAAGTCGTGCTTTCGAGACATGAAGAACGCAATTTGAATTTCGTCAATGAACGGGAGATATAGAACTGTCTCATTTTTTTTAATTTTATTTTATTTTATTTATTTATTTATTTTTGGCGCACTGTACAATATTCAAGTACTGGTAATCATGTACATTAGTAAAACAAATTTTGGTTAACGATTATGTTTAATGTCTTGTAGATAGATTTGATTAATTAAGTACAAGTTATTACATTTATCACTACGAAAATTACATAATCACAGGTAGATGCGAACTATTCACAATGCATGGAATGAGTTTATTAAACTTACCAAGATGATTAATACTCTACATAATCACCGAATTAATCAATTTTAACATATGCATTTCTGACATAATGTAATGCATTCAATGCGACAGACACACACTTCTAAATATAAAGGCTGGAAAATTAAATTTAACAATCCAAAATACCTCGAGATAAACAGCAAACAAATTTTAGTGTCTGTTAATAACAGATATAAGATAAATCATGGTTACTAGGTATTGGCCTTTTGGCCCAAAGTTATGGTATCTTTATGATACGATGATGTTACTAATGAAAATGTACCTAAATTTCTCATTATGTAATATGCGATGATATTTGATACAAGATGAGGAAGGGAGGAAAAATTGGAAAAAAATAGGTGGGAATTGTCTGATATACTTATAGAAGTATAAGGGTGATCTGAAGACATACGTCTGCAAATAAAGGAATTACATTTATAAGAGGATCTATATTTAAGGCGATGTCAATATAAAATTTACTGGTTTTTCATACATAACCCTCCATAAGTAATATATGCCCTACGAAAACTTCCTAAAACTATTTTGTAGGATTATACAAATGAGAAATAAGTTTTATACAAAGTCGTACAAAAGGAAGGCCTCACTTGGACTCTCTAAATGTAGTTATGCATATATTTGGAAATCATCAGCTCAGATATCAATATTTACATGAGAGAAATTGGAGTTAATCCTTTTAGTCCAAAGGGGCTTTGTCCTTGAAGTACTATTGTTTTCGCTCTGCGACTTTGCGTTGGTTCACTATAAATGTCGGTTCTCTTTTCAAACTGTTGTCACTAAATGTTAAGAGTTCTGCATTATAATTGAAGAAATTAAATAATGAAAATCTGCATAAATGTATGTATATTTCTCGCATTGTGATAAAACAACGGTACAGAGAGTCATCGAATTTTGAATGACGCAACCTACTGCCAATATGGACATGTAGAAGCCCAAATTTGAAATTTGGAATTTGTTTTATTATCGATTTCATATTTTGTAAAACTTTAACGAATTTTTGATAAACAAACTCAACGATTTCAAAGCGAGCAATGGTAACGTTGTACAGAAAAAACATTTTTATCTCCCGCCAACAAGACTGTGCATCAGCAATTCTAAAGATATGCTCATTTTAAAATTTATTTTACGATATTGCTCTTGAACTGAAGTTTATGGTTTAAGTGCGCAGGACGTGATATTTAATAAATAAAGATAACAGTCAAAATGTTAAAAAAACGCCCCTTTGAACGCAATTTAAAATCTAAAACCTTTCAGATTTTTATCCTTTTTTTAAAAATTTTTTTAAAAACTTTTTAAAATTTTTTTCAACGCACCTGGTATCCGTCATTTCCGAACAGTGAGAGTAAGTCATCCATGTCCACCTGTCTTTTGAGCCTCATGGACCGTCTAGGAGTTCGAATGCCTCGTTTCTGGATCATCTGGCCGATAGAACTGCGAAGGCTCCTTTTTCGTAGATTCAGAGGATGACCTAGAAGTTGACGCTTACGACGATACAGATCTTCTTGATCGTACAGGCTGTTAGCGAACTCTTCTGGCGCTACAGAAAAATTTAGGAAATCTTAATTTCATACTGGACTCATTGAATCCGATTATTTTTGCAAATGATTTAAGCATTTCATTCAAAAAGAAATCTTACTTAAAATTCAGCAGCGTTTGATATTTAAATGCAAGAACACGAATGCAATGCCTAATAGCAAACATTTTTAATCATATATACGTGAGGCAATTGATAGGAATTATATGCACATGAGTCTGTTTCTCTTTTAGAATTAACATAAAACAAAATAATATATGTATTTAAACATATTCCACATTTCAAGGCCCGAAATTAAGCTCAAATTTAATTTCCTGAAAACATTCAACAGTTGTATGAGAAATAAGTAATTGATGGAGATTTTACTGAACCGTAATGAAATTAACCCTTTGAAGGCCAAAACGTTCGAGACAGCCTTTCATTCAAACGTCCACTACCGTCGAAACTGTCGAGATTGCGATGCTGCTTTCTTTCCTCTCTCTAACGTATGCACTAGCATGTGCAGTTTTTCCAAATGCATTGTATCAGTTTATTGCAGACAGATTGTCCTGAAAGGCTGATGGAAGCTTCTTTGTTAGTAAGTAGAAAGAATTTCATTTGAAATCTCCACACCTCTTTATGGGTTAATGGAGTGAGAGAGGAGGAAACGGACGGGACGGGTAATGAACGGTGACGGGCGTTTCGGTATTTTAAGCATACAGGTTAGCGAAGGCTTCGGTTTTCTAGGGGTTAAAGCTTTCCACAGTGAGGAAATCGAGTATAGGATTACATAGCATGAAGAAATTTTTTAAATATGCATTTGGTAGCGAATACTTAATGCCATTTTAATGCATTCAGTAAACAGAAATTAAAAACAGATTAAAAATGTACTAAACATTCTACGTAGCACACGAAGTATAAATGTGTAAGACTATATGTATTTACTTTTACGGAAATATATGTGTATGTAAATCAAAATCGTACATCACGTATATTTATACATATATTTGATAGCCACGCTATGTTATAGAGACTATCAATCTTTTCGATGAGAGGAAAATGGTAAACATGATGATCTTGCCGGGATTTGAAACCCGGATCTTCTAATGTTAGATGGATGTCCTAACCATGTACACCACAAATGCATGTACGGGAAATGAGATAATTTCTTACAGCGTTAATTAACAAGCATTAAGTTTTGAAGAAATAACACATTTTGTTTCTTTTACCTCAAGTTGTATTATCCGCATGCGATTCTAGGTAATAAGGTAATATCGGAAAGGACTGTATATCCAATAGCAATATAACAGGAAAGAATTGTGTAGTAAAAATGTCTGAAACATTAGTGTTAGTTGAAAGTTCATTCAGAGTTATTATTGGAGTTGCTTATTTACTTACTGGTGTAAAAAGAAGGAAAGTTGAGAGGAATTATACAGAATAGACAGATAACCTGTTGGGAAATTTGGCAAAATTTCTTCAAATACATTTTATTTTCTAAAATTGATAAATTTGGTAATAAAGTTCGGTAGAAAAGAAAAGAGTGCTATCGAATATCAAGCCGAATTTGGTAGAACTGTTCAGAAAACCATTCTTTTTAATGTTACGCTTTATCAGTAGGAAAATACTTACCCAGGCTTTGCCTTGTGGGCGAATTGGCGAGATATTGTAAAGCACTGGAAGACACGGGTACAGTGTTGTACCAATTTTCAGCACCAGAGCCCATCATCATATCATTCTGTTCATCTTCATCTGCCGGGCGAGCTGTTCTCTTTTCATTCTTTTCATCTTTTGCCGTTTCATCTTCTTTTTGATCGTCAGCTTTAGTATTGAAAGGAAATGGAGATTATTCAATAGATACGTATGTTACATTTAGACTGCGAGAAGCTAGATGAAATTCAGTTTTATTTTAAAAGGTTAAAAATTCTAATATTTTTTTAACATTCTTTTCGGTTCTTTGCAGTCGATTCTCTCATTGCAAATCTCCTCACTCGCTATAATAATATGCAAGTAAGTGGCATAATAAATGAAAGTGAATTGGAATGCCAAGTTATGTTACTAATGAGCTGTGTTTCTACACTGATGTGGAAACCAGTAATTAGTACTCAGCCATTGAACATGGTTTAATATGGATTAATCGCTATGGCAGATTGACATTTAACATCTATCCGTCTGGGTATGGAATTTAGATTTAAGTTAAAAATCTCTAGATTAAGTGTAGTTAGGTGATAATACAGCACATATGTTTTTATTAGAGTTTGTAGTACAAAAAATTTCGGATCTTTTAAATAGACAGTTTCATCTTGCGATATCCTGCAAATTACCAGCGGTTCCTTTTTTTTTTTTTTTTTTTTCCCGATATCATTTGTTTGTAAACACAAAAGTTTTAACAAAAAAAAAAAAAAAAAAAAAAATTAATGGAACAATTCTTTAAATAGAATCATAGGTACAATGCAAAAAAAAAAGGGGGGGGGATAGTTCGATATCTCCGTTCTACTGGGCCGATTGACGCAATTCAGCTTGCGTTTTTCATATCTCGAAAGCGCAACTTATCATTCTAACATAGGTATTTTGACACAAAATCGAACATTTTCTGAAATGGCATGTCAATTGTTTTCCATATTTCGATTCTACCACTCAAATTATGCCTAAATATTAAATTTTGTAAAATTTGGTGGGAAAATTTATGGAGAAATTCAAAAATTTATCTTGGCATATTTTTTCCAGTTTTCGCCAAGAATAATTTACTTGGCGAACTTCTTAATTTATAGCAACCTACTTTCCTTTCTTTTTTATCATTGTAGAAGAGAGGGAGAAAAGTTATCGTTCATACTTTTCAAAATAATTTTAACAAAGTGAGTATTATCGTTTTGCGTTATTGTCGCTAAAAAAAAAAAAAAAAAAAAAAAAAAAAAACAGATGCCAAATTTCAAAACGGGCCAGTATGTAAATTCATGTATATCTTAGAAAATTTTGCATAAAAACTCTAATTTTTTTTCAGGTGTGCCTAGAAATACATACACTTTAAGATGATGTTAAAAATTTTATAGCAAAAATTTTTTATAACAAAAATCTTTTCGAAAAATTTTTAAAAAATATTTAAAAATACAAATTTAAAAAATAAATCATAAAAAATGTGCGAATTATATTTGGATTAAGCCTAAATTTCGAATTCTGCAAGAAGGAATTAAGTAAGTTTAATAAAAAAAAGATATTAATAATATATATGAAATTCAATTAGCATTGAGGAGCTAACATTTTGAGAGCTAATTTTTTAAAAACTACTCGAGCGATTTTTACAAAACTTGGCAGTTGTGCATAATTTGAGTCGTACAATCGAAATATGGAGAAAAACGTGGCATGTCATTTCAGAAAAAGTCCGATTTTGTGTCAAAATACCTATATTATAACAATGCTATATATTAATCTAGTATATATCCTAAGTCGTGTATTCGAGACAAGAAAAACGCAATTTGAATTTCGACAATCAGCCCAGTAAAACGGGAGATATAGAACTGTCTCTTTTATTTATTATTTTTTTTCTCAGTGTACATCGTCTAAGATACACACTTTCAGAATAATTTAAGGAGTGATTCAATTTCCAATTATCCATATTCCCGTTTTAAAGATTTCAAACTATCATCCAGAAATCTGGAAAATTTTGCTTTATTGTGCAGACCAATCCACGCTATCCTAAATCTCAGATTTGCAAGTAAATTTAATTCTTATTTATTTTTTATGGTTTCAAAAAGCTAAAGTAATTAAATTACGTTTCAGCTGATAGGGTATTTTTGTTTTCTTTTACTTTGATTCGAGGGAAGACCAGATATCTGAATTCCTTTATCCTTTCGCAGTTTTTTTTTTTTTTTTTTTGGCCGGTGCATTAAAAAGCAATATTTGGCCAGTTATTATGCAACATGGATATTTTGACTTTAATCAATGAATTTTTTATGGACATTGAAAACTCTAGGATCAAATTGTCTTGAATATATATTCTAATAATTCAGTGCAATCTACTATTGCAACATGCATAATTCATTTTGCGTTATTCTATTTATATAAAATGGTAATATTTATATAAAATTATAATGCTATAAAAGATTAAATGATGAAAAACATACAGTTAATTCATCTTTTGATTATTTATGCTAATTCCTAATCAGTTGAGGAAATAATAAAATATACTAGGACAAGATCTTTTCTTCTTTTGTGTTAGACAAGTATATCTTAATATTCTACGAAGCCGTGGCAATTGACATTTTCAGTCATTAGCTACATACAAGAAAATTTCGGAATCAAAATGAAACTCACTTTCTGTTGCTAGTACGAACATTAAACGTATACATTTTAAATTCAGAGTTAAAGTCACATGCTGAATAACAATTATTGACAGAGCAGCAACGTGAATCAGCGTGATATTCATAAAATTGCTTGGATGGTTTAGAAAATTTAAATATATAACCTTCCTCTTCAGCTGCAAAAGTACTCAATTCAGTTTTTGCATTTTATAAATATTACGCTGATTCTTTTTGCCTTACCTCCTCCACTAATCACACATTTTAATTCAGCATTTCAAACTTCAGCAATTTTTATTTTAAAGTTTACGCAAATTAAAGTCATATTTTCATAAAATGCCGAAAATATGTCATTTTTGTTTTTTTCCTTAGCTAATAATTAAATATGTACCTACTCTATGGCAGAAATTAATAAATATATTTTGATATTTTTCTATCCAGAATTAATCTAAAGCTCCAATTAGATTTGAGCTTTTTTATGTTTAATCAATAATTTTTATTTAAACGTTTACGCAAGTTAGAGACATACTTTCATAAAACACCGAAAATATGTTATTGTTTCTTCATAGCTAGTAATTAAATGTGTATGAACTCTAAGCCAAAAATTAATAAGTATACTTTGAATTTGTTTCTATCTAGTATTAATCTGAAGCTCCAATTAGATTTGAATTTTTTTAAATTATAATTAATAAATTATGAATTATTTATGAAAGTATCAAAATTAGAGTGATACTTTATATATATATAGAGAGAGAGTGATACTTTCATAAATCGCCAAAAATATGTTACTCGTATTTCTGCTTTTTTCCATAACTGGTAATTAAATCTATATCTACTCTAAGTCAGAAAATAATAAGTATCCTTTTCATTTATTTCTATCTAGTATTAATCTGAAGGTCCAATTAGATTTTAAAAGCGGTGGTTAAGAGCGTTTATGATGGAATTTAGCTTGAGATCAGTAATTTAAGTCTGCAGATATATGAGCTGGTTTACTACTGTTGCATAAAAATGTTACTTTTTTTTAATATATATATATATAAATTTTTGAATCTTTTGTCTACATTCTTGACTATGTTCCAAGTAAAAATAAAAAGAAATCTTCATTTCGGATAATGATAAAATTCACTGAAATACTTACGCTGAGATGCATTTGACTTTTTGTCCGGAAGCCTAAGAGAATAATTTTCATCGTCATCCAAATTGTCTGCCATTCCCATCAAGTCATCAACGAGACCGTTGGGTTTGTTCTGTTGATTACCGAACATAATTTCTTCTCGAGATCTTTTCTCTGAAAAGGAAGAAATTCTGAAATACCTCTGACGAAAATTTAATGTAAAAAGAAAACATGCTAGACTTGAAATCTTTCATCTCATTATGAGTTATATCACATAAAACCAGTTGTAGTAAATAAAAACAAACACTAGAGTTTTAATTTTCCTTGAATTTCGTATACCTCACTTTGTAGAAAAATAAATTCTCAATTTTACCACTTTCACACAGTAAATTGCATGAGCCGTTTACTCTTACGTACTCTTTTGACGGCATGCTATAGTGATTTTAGTCGTCAAAAGTATTCCAAAACGTTCCAAAAAATGTTAATTCAAAAAAAAAAAAAAAGAAATCAATATCTTATGTTTAGTTATATAACATAATAGTAATATTATTGCATTTCCGGTTTCATTCGTGAACCTGCAAAGAAAAAGTAAACATTATTTGCTGCATATTACCATAAAATATTCAACTATTATTTTCAAAACTGGAATTTTTATTATTTGGTTTAGGACATTCATGTACAGTGGAACCTCGAGATACGAGTTTAATTCGTTCCAGAATTGAGCGAATACATCTGTACGTACATAGCCACGTATATATGTATCTTGCATGACTCAAAAAGCCTTAGAAAGTTGAAATTGTTTAAATGGGTTACTGCTATAACACCTAGTTGTGCACCTCCCTTTTTTATTGCAACCAGCAGTACCAAACATCATGTACATTTACTCTCAAATACCCCTTACCCGCTTAAAAGTTCTTACCTTGCCGTTGTTTTTGCAATCGTTGCTTAATATACTTCCAATTACAGAAGTGTTTTAAATGACGGAAACATTCGCATTTTGGTAATATCAAATTAAAAAAAAAAAAAAAAATTTAGAAAATCAACGAAACCTAACTTTTAAAGCGGTCTTCCGTTTTCTATACCTATCTTTGGGAAAATTTTGTACTTGTTATGAAAAAATAAAATTATAAGAATTTTTACTCTCGTACGACAATTACTGAACAGGATACTTAAATTAAAAATTTGAAATTTTTTATGTCATTTGTAATTTGCCTTCAAGGCTCAATTAATTTAGAATAATTCGAGGAAATAAATGAAGTGCAGCAAAAAATGTATATAATTTAATAGGCATAAAAGAAAGTCATGTGGTGTCCACATCAGATTTTTTTTTTTTGTTTATGTTGAAACTGAGGTTTTTCGTTCTGAGACTTATTAATTTGTTTCATATTTTATAGGAATGAATCAAACTCATTACTATCAAATGAGAAAATATCTAAATTGAGGCCATTTAAGCTTTGTTTCAGAAAGCGCTAGATGAATTCCAGTTAAAAGGCTTTTAAAGAATAAGCATTCCACTCATGGTGCAAACATTGGCATCGTTGCATAATTACGGAGAGAACTCACTTAAATGCAAAAAGAGATTAAATTTAATTCAACTAAGTTTTCAGAACTTGTTTGGCTTTTCTTGTTTTCTTTTTTATCAGCTTAAAATTGCTGAGAATTAAAAAAAAAGTGTTTTTATGGAAGTATGAAAACAAGTAAGAAAGTTTTGGAATAGGAAAAAGGTATATGCTATAAAAGATCACGTAATCTTTACATAATCGGGGTGCAATACGCCTTAGAAACTAGAAGGCGCCAGTTTTTTTTTGTAACAGCCAGATTTACCAGTTATTAATTTATAAAATAGTAAAAAGAGAATATAGAAATAGGAAAAATAATTAAAATTGAAAAAATACAAGATCTTTGTACATATTTACATTAAATTTCTTATCGAAGTCAAAACAAAGTATGAAAATAATCTATCAAAACCTCAAATTTCTGTTTTACTAATTACTTATTTGGATTTAAGGCTATGAATAAAAAAGATAAAAATGATAATTAAACGTAAGATCAAAAATAATTACAACTGCAAACTTCTGCTTTTAAGACAACCATTTTCTCAGATGTGGATCAGAGCCACAATTCTTATTTGATTCCACAAAGAAAAATTTTAAATTTAGCCTAAAACTTAAAATAGGTCCTAATAACCACGATACATATCTCTGAATATAAAACTAGTATCTAGTAGTAATTACGCCATTCTTATGACGTAACATACTATTTGTGCGCCCTGATAATCTTAAAGAGATTTAAAAGACGATAGTTGAAGATCTTCAAGTATTTAAATTTCCTCACCTTTGCTGTCTTCTTGACTACTGGTATCATCCGAAATAGAGGCATCTTTCTCGTCTGATTTCGAGGAATCTTCTGCGTGTACGAAGGTAAAACTAGAGAACGATGCCGCAATTATGAGCAAAACATAAAGTTTGATGTATCCTGTTGTGGCAACCATCTTTGTGAGGCAGCCTACAAGGAGGAAAAAAGAAATCATAAAATTCAAATAGCAGTAATGCAATTCAGTTATTAAAAAGTAGTTATCTACACACTTTACTACCTAAATTATTATGCTAATATGATGGAAATTAAAGTCATCTGCCAACTAAAACATTTTCGTTTCCAAATCCTAGAAAATAACCTAAAATAAAACTTCGATTTTTTATCTATAATCTGAAAATTCTCAAGATGAATGTCAATGTTTTAATTAACAGTTATTTGTTTAGTTGTTCCCCATTCTTCCTCTTTTTAATCTAGTATTTATTTCTTAAAATAGTTTAAACATATAAATTCAGGCTGAATAAGACTTGAGAATTAAATTTCAGTACAATAATCTGTTACTCACGTTATGCTACATAAGATCATGGGATCTTCGGACACTTTCTTAACAAAGAGCCTAGAATGATTTGACTTAATGATGAATGATTAACATGAGTATGATTAACATGAGTATGATTAACATTTGTAGTTTCGCAATTCAAACAAATACCGCCTTGGCAATTTTTTTCATGCTATAATGCAATATCATTTTATTATAAACAGTGATCTGACTGATATTAAATTTAGCCTTCCACTGTTGATCGTAAAAATGGTCAGCGATGTTGACTGCTTTATCGCTGGACGTGCGTTTGAATCTTGGAAAAGGCATGGATGTTTGTAACTGTGCTGAATCTGTGCGGCATAAATGCCCTTAAAAATAATGGCAAGCCGAAAGTTTTCCGGAATGGCTGATGGTTGGCTAGTTAATTAAGGGGACTGACTGTGCCTGCTTGGCCACGAAGTGGTCTTATGATACATGGCTGGATCATTCTTGGCTTCAACACAATGGGAAAAAAAGGCGTAAATAACATGCACACACTAAAGCAGAATACCCACTAATAATTTATTGCAGTTTATATGTTTCATTATTTTTCATGAAAATCTTTTCGATTTGTCAATATTTCTTAAAATTAATTCAGTGTTAAAATTATTATTTTCTGAAAAATCACTCCCGATGTCATTAAAAAGTCTACATGTCTCCACAAAATACTTTGCCTCGCCTATCTCGCTGCAGTTACTGCAGAGGTCGGAGTCTCGTAATTTAAACCTCCTGAGATAGGATGGAAAATGGCCGTGACACGTTAAAAGTTGGTTTAAGTCAGTGTCATTGTAAATATATCCTTTTTAAATTTGGACGTATTTCGTAATTCTTCTTCCTCTCCGATTCTGTCCATTTTTACATCTGTCATTTAGAACCGTTATTTCGTTTTGAACTGTTGCTTCCTCAGCCAGGGTATCGACTCTCTCATTTCCCAAGATGCCTGCATGTACCTTCACCCAAGTGAAGATACTATTATGTTTCTGGGCAGCTCGTAATGCTTGATTTTCAAAATTAGTTGATTGGACTGGTCTGGGTAGCCTGCAGGATAGAAAGACTATTAATATAAGTATTTATATAATGACTATTATTAAGTCTCGTTTTAACCGTTTCAATGAGTATAAGAGAGCTGCTACATCTGCCTGGAAAACTGAATTATACGTGTTCAATTTATATTTGAAATTAATAGATTATCAAAGAAATAGTCCTAAAGTTGGGAGAACTCTATATTTATACAGATGGGTCTAGTGTGGGAAAGAGTGTATCCTTTGCCTTGGTAATATATTATTAGCCCAAAGGGGAAATTTTGTAGAAAAAATTTTCTTTGCACTTAAAACATAAAATTCAATTCAACAACAATATCACAAAGTATTTAAAAGAGCATATCTTTAGAATTTCCTATACACAGTCTCGCGCTGGAGATAATTTTTTTTTTTTTTTTTTTTTTTTTTTTTTTTTTTTTTTTGGGATCTGCGTTGCCCCTGCTGGCTTTGAAATCGTCGAGTTTCTAATCGAAAACTCATAAATGCTTTACAAAATGTGAAATAGATAATAAAACAAATTCCATATTTCAAATTTGGACTTCCAGATGCCCATGTTCAGGTGCTGACGTACGTTATTAAAAATTGTGCTGCTCTAGGTACCGTTGTTTTATCACAGTGCGAGAAACATACATACATTTATGAAAATTCTTCATTATTTAATTTCTTTAAAAAGAATACGGGGTTCTAATATCTGATGGCAACAATTTAAAAGTGATTCGACGTTTATAGTGAATGAACGCAAAATGGCAAAACGAAATTAATAGCCCTTCTTGGCAAACTGCCCCTTTGGATAACCTTACCAAAGCAAAGGATACACTTTTTCCCACACTAGACTCATCTATATATAAATATTAAGTTCTCCAACTTTAGGAATCTTTCTTTGATAATCTATCAGATTCCTTTTGGCTCAGTATATCATATTTATGTCAAATGTTTCACATGTAGCGGGTCACTATTCTGTCTTCGTACGTTTGAAAATCTATTCTCCCTTGTCCTTAGTAAACATTTTTCGTAGTAAAAAAGGTAATACCCAGAGAGAGGAGCACGCCAGCTAACATTCTTGCAGTGGAGACGGTTCTAAAATATCTGGTAAAAGTCAATCCCTTTGGAAAGAATCTAGTTTCATTCCCAACTTTACTAGCTCCGTCACTCTGTGACTCCATGTAGCTATGACATACATGATAGGAATAAAAATATTGCCATAAATTGCTCTCACGGTAGCATTTTTGCTGGACAACGTATGGCCAGAAAACGTTTTTTCTGTATTAATTCAAAATGCCTTCAACCATTTTTTTCCGCATAATTAAAATGAGAGATAAAATTGATATGGCTGTGTAACGCATCCTAGGTATTTTATTTCATCTTCGAATTGAATTTGCTGTTCATGGTATTTAAGTCTTGGAAAGACATCTAGATGACATCTTGTATATAGCTTGACACATCTTTGGCATCTACCGTGATCACCTAAAACACATCTTGGACATTTTGTGTCGTTTTCTAGAACACATCTTGGACGTCTAGTGTAGACACCAGGAAGGGCATAGTAGGGAGAGCCTCGGATCCGTTGTCCTGTTTGTTTTCCGTCAAACACTGGTGTGGGGTCGCGCTGTAAGTGTGGCGGAATCATATTACGACAAATGGTGAAATTCTGATGACCCGCCTACTTACCTGTACCTGATATTGACGTTACACTGAAGGTCATATTAAGATCATTTTATACATAAGCTTCAGTATAACATTAATATCCTGATTCAGCAGCTTCAAAACATCTCAATAACGGTCTTGTCTGATGCGAATAGACAAAGTTCACTATAAAATCCCCCTCACATCGAAAGCAATCATCAACATTATCCTCGATGAGAACCCGCTCTGCGCAAAGTACAGGTATGTACGTAGTGTATCCGTTCTTTGCACAGGGAGAAAAGAAAAACTATTTTAAGAAAAAAATATGAAACTTTGGAAATGCCCGCAGAAGTGCAATAAAATTGATGACTAAAGGGGAGAAATTTTTCCTACTCAGCGTAAATGAAGTAAGTGACATCATTCTGTTTCAAACATCTGTAGAGTCATTAGGATTTTTTTAGGGGCAGAAAAGATGAAAAATATGCAACCGCCTTCTCCGGGAATCGAAAGACGGACCTCTGGAATACCGACCCAGCATGCTACCGTTACACCACGAAGGCACGCTAGGGAGGTGGGAGAAATACCTTATACATCAAACTCACAAGAAAGGGATCTTATAATTCTATATTTCTTATAAGGCCCATGGTCTCGAATCGAATCATTTGATAGAGGATGAAAAGAAATCTTGCTCCACCAGCGCTTTGGAATGCGAGATTTTAACCTGGTACATTAAAATTAAACTGCGTTCAAAACAACGGATCTTAAACATAATGAATTTGAGACCGCTTTCCGATATGTACTTTGCAGGACCCTTAATAATTAACCAATTAAACGGAGTGTCATTTTTGTTGTATTTTTCATGATGATAATAAATAACAACTAAAACATAAGTTTGAAAAGTCTTCTAGCCGACTTCTGAGGATCCATCGACCACAGCTTGAGAATGGGACTGGTATAGAAGGTTTTCCACCTTCTATAACCTATATATATAAGAGTGAAATTCTGTAAGCCACTTTGAGGTGCTAGCGGACCCATTTTGCAGAACTGTTTATCGGATTTTCCTTCTCTGCGATTTTCTTTCTATATGCGGCGTGACACACACACGAGCTCAGAAATTCTTGCTTTTATTATTGCGTATTTCTAGGTTTTGTTATTACTCGTACTTTAAATTTATTCAAATTTCGAATATTCCTTTTCAATCAAATTTAAGATACAGCTGTATATAAAGCTTTTTCTTTTGCGTATTTCTGCATGACCGAGTCGTTGGTTTTAATTACTTTCGTTCTGTTTTCCTGGCCTTGCTCAGGCCTGTTGCCTGTTGAGCTGTGAATGTAAAAGTTTCTATGTTTCAAATCCTGTTTGTTTTAAGGCGAAAACATGCTAGAGTTATCATTGTTAACCTGACGTTGAGCTTTTGTTATGTTCTGTTCTTTTTATGTGATTGTTGGCGTGTTCATTTACATGGAAGAATGGTTGCTAAAGCCTACAGTCTCTCACCCCTCTCCCTTTCCGCCGAACCACATAAAAGAACTTTCGGCTCGCCGCATATTTAGAATGTCCCCATGTCGCACGGCCACTATACATTTACAAATACCCTTGTCTTCTCAGAGATTCGAACCTGGCCCTTAGGCACCGCAGTAGGCTTCCCTAAACTTTATACCGTCTGGGTGGCGGTTTGTTTTATGTGAACAAATATTTACTCCAAGCCGACCAGTCGGTATAGTGATCAGGGAAGCTGACTGCGATGCCGAAGGGCCTGGGTTCGAATCCCGGAGAAGGCATGGTTGTAACTGTCCGTCTCTTCATGGGAAAGGCGATGGTGGCCCACCTATTAGGTGCCTCCATAATAAAGAGACCACCACATCCGTTTTTGTATATATTAATGAAATGGGTTACATTTGTAAATGTTCACAATCTGCCATTCGGGGAAAAAAAAACTATTTACTCCA